CCCTCGCTGCTGGAGGAAGCGAGGAACCTCCCAGCCCTGCTGCAAAAGCCAGGCACAGAGAAAAGGCAGCAGGCTCCTCGACACCCTGGCACAGCCTTTGCCCAAAGCCCCTGCCCTCCCGCAGGCACAGCAGGATGCAGCAGGCAGGGCGCCATGGCTCCAGGAGCTCCCCTGAGAGGGGACAAGCAGGCAAAGCCTTCCCTGCTGGCTGGGTTTCCTGGAACAGAAGCACAAGGAGAGCCCAGCCGAGCGGGGATGTACCTACTGGGGATGAGTCAGGTGAAAAGGAAATCCCAGCGGATGGAGGGGAGAGAAATGCTGCTCTGAGGACAGACAGGAACAGCAAGAGGAAGACATCTGTGAACAAAAGAAATGACTGGCAGAAAGAACATGCAGGATGCTAGGGGAAAAAACATGGAGGGACAGAAAAAAATAAGAGGAAAGTTATTTTACAGGACACAAAAATAATAATGAGGGAAAACAGGAAAAGAAAAAAGCCCTTTGAGACCGATTCTAAATTTAAAAGGCAGGAGAAAAAGACAAAGAGGAGAAACAAGGGCAGGTCAAACCACATGGAGCACTGTGCAAATGTTACCAACATCTATAAAATGCTGCTTTAGCAGCTCACATGCAACATCCTGCAGCAAGAGACCCCAAGTACTTACAGAGGAAGGCAGGATCACCACGACCTATTTACAGCTGGGGAAACTGAGGCACGAAGCAATCCCATAACTTGACAAAAGCCACTAAGCAGGGCAGCAGCAGAGCCAGTGACCTGCCCTCAGCCAGTCTGCAGGCAGCTCCTGAGAGAGCACTCAAGGTTTTATCAGGCTTCATTACCTACTTTCAAAGGTGTTGCCTCGAGATTAGGCTAAATATAACCCAAGTGTCTCTGGAGCTTCAGCTCTGGCACTTACTAAACAAATGAGAGAATTCTTCATGGGAGATACATTATACTTTCTAATAAACCTATCAAACTTCACAAATGCTCCGACTGAATGCACAGCATTCTTGTTTCCATTTTATTTAAGGTTTCACTTCAGCTGCTACTCTTTCTCAGACAAGGAAGGAAAACAGCCAAACCTCTCCACCAATAGGTAACTAGATGAAAGGGCTGGAGGAGCAAGAGCATATGATAATATTCCAACTACAGAGTCCAAATAGTAAATAATTATTTAACGTCTAATAGCTAAGAAAGGGCCTTTGCTCTTGCATCACTTTCCTATAATGGATCTTGTATTGCTAATGCTTAAGAGAGGGTGGAGTTCACATCATGAAATTGCAAAGTGTTGAGTGTATAAACTCATAAGCAGATTTTTCTTTGAAAAAGCAAATTTTGTAGTCCTTCAGCTCTCTAACTGCCCCCATGTCTTCCCTCACACTGTTCTACTTTTCCCACAGTGCCTTCTCTCTAACTTTCTGAGCTATTATTCAGGTCAATAAATGAGTTTCCCACTACAAACAACAGGACATACCAAATCATCAGCTAAAACGAAACTGTGTGGAATGTGGCTTGCAGTTATCATTCAGGACTTAGACAACACTACAGATTAAGGTACATGTGAGCCACTGGTTTATCTTCCTACTGGTATTAAAAGAACTAATTCCAAATATAGATCTGTGAGTGTGATTATTCTGAGAAAAGAAACTTAATGCCTTCTCCCTCACTTTCATAGATCTATGCCTCTAGACAGGTCAACGCCCCCAAAATACTCATGTGGAGGATGCAGGCTATCCCACAAGCACACAGGAAAAATATGTAAATAAATAAAGCAAAACCATGCCATGTCACACATCTCCTCCTATGAGGACAGCCACTCAGCTGCATAGTAAAAAACATTTCCACTATCAACAACAAAACACCACCCTTAAGGAAACGCCTTCTTGGAAAAGCAAAGTCCAGACTCCATCAGTTTCATGAGATAGGCAAGCCACCAAGGAGACACCCAGCCTGGGATAGGTTAGGGATTTGAAAAATTTTAAATGGAAGACAATACTGAATTTCACACTACATATCACACATGCCCTAAGACAAACAGACTGAGAGCACAGCAGGCAAGAGTCAGCTATTACAGGTAAGCATATGAGGCACGTAATGACATGAAAACATAGATAAAAAGGTCCAACAAGTTCCTTGCAGATGCCCCTCTTTCCATTCCCAAAGTGGAGGAGAACTTGAAGGACAACCAAGCATATTGCCAGAAATCAGGAAAAACTAAACCTCTGTAAATTAAAATCTCCCTTTCAAACCTGTAGCTTGTAAAAGAAGTTTTATACGTTAACCCAATTCCCCAAAGACCACAACTGAGCAGAGGACTCAAGCACTGTGACATCTGGTTTTACCACTATTCCAACTGGATGCTTAAAAAAAAAAAATCCCACTTTTTCCCCCACCAGATTTCCCTGCTTAGCCAAAGGGAGCTCCATGAACACACACACACTCTCTCTCTCTCTCTCTTTGGCTGCTTTGCTAACAAGTTCCCTGATGCTGAATAAAGGGTGTTTCTTACTCTGCCCCTCACCATCATTTTACCCTGGCTCATGCCAGAAATAACCTGCTTACAAGAGGCAGCTGGCACAGCACTGAGTCTGAGAATTGGATTCTGGATCTTCTGGAAATTCAAATATTATTTCAGAAGACATAAATTAGCATCACTTCACAGCAAACAATCACAAAATCATTCAACAGCATTCACCAAATACCAATACAGTAAATTACCCAGTGACAGCCTTTTCTTATGCCCAATAACACAAGTCATCTCTTTATTTATCTTTCCAAAAGCCCCATAGCAATCACAGGACCCACTTTCCCAAGGAAGCAGCAGCAAGCAAGCACACAGTGCATTTTTACCTCTGCCTAGTGCAATTAAGCAGCTGGAGCGGTGGCAATGTGCCTCCAGCATCGAGCAGGGAGCTCCCTGGCACCGGCCAGGGCTCCAGAAGCTGCTGCACCTCGACTGCTGCAGCCTGGGCGCTGCCAGGCTGTGACACCCAGAAGGCTCAATGCAGCAAATGCTCGGGTTACAGCTGAGCTCGCAGCTGCTGCCCAGCTCATCCCGCACGTAGCACTGCCTCAGCTGCCTGCCTGGAGCTCGCAGCCTGCTTAGCTGGGCACGCTGTGCCGCAAGCCCGCTCCCCACACCACAAAAGCACATCCTACAATGCACACCTACCGCAGTGACCCTTTTTAAAAAATCCTTCTAGAGGAATTTATGCCGTAAGCCAAACAGACTTTTAAAGAGTTAATAATGTAATTCAGAAAGCTATTCTTGCACTAAAACATCTACATTCTATACTTCTTCCTCTTTAAAGCACAAAATTTGAAAATATTAATTAAACCTAATTTCTACGTGCTATTCAGTAAACTTTTCCACATATTGTTCTGTAGCCTTACTGTTCAGTCTGCAATAGCGCAAACACCGGCACCTTTTCTTTATGACACTTAATCATTCGAAACAGCTGTAGCTCTCTTCCAACGCCCGTTTGTTGCCATGGTTTGTACTCAGAGGCAGAATTACCGAGTGGAAAAGAGCGGACAATCAGTAAAGCAGATCTGACGTTAGAATGGAGCACGGGGTTTCCTCACTCGCGGATTACCCTGCCTGCAATCCCCACGGAAGCGGCCGTTTCCAGCCAAGGCGTTATTCCGGGCGGAACTCTCGCAGCC